GACCACCTCCCTTCAACCTGCCCCCCCACATCAGACAGGCCACCTCCTTTGTGTATATATTTTCCAACTGAAAAATGTTGGAGGTCATTTGATGGTTGAAGTGGGATGTGTGGAGAAGTTACGAGCAGTCAGTGTCTTACCTGCAGTTAATAGCTGTTGCAGCCTGGAGACATCAGGATCTTTGTTGGGTCAGCGGTACTTTTCCTTCGTTAGTTTCTCCTTCTCCGTCCTGCCACGCCCACCTTCACCTGCTTCCTGTTACCATCACCCACCTGTCTCCACCCAGCACCCCACCTGTCTCCACTCGCCTCATCGCCTCAGTCCATGTAGCCTCCTCTGCAGCCGGCGCTGAGCTTCATGTCTGAGTTACACTCGACACTAACAGGACCACACTAACGTTGACAGTGTTTTTATAACTTTATTATTTTACTTGTTGTTTTTTAAATCAGGTCTCTCTTGTAAAATGAGTCCTTGTGACTCAGTGAGACTAACCTGTAGAAATAAAGGTTGAATAAATAAAAACATTCACTTCTTTTCTTTCTGCAGCAGATTTTGCCACAAGATGGCGATAAAATGTAAATAAAATAAAACCAACAAATGTTCATTAAATAAAAACAACTCGGCTCAATGAAGAGGATTAAAATGCAAATAAATAGTTTTTATCCAAATCAAACGTTAAACAAAGGAAACAAGTGAAGCAGTTTAATGTGAATATTGAGAATAAAACACATTCAAGCACAAAATTACTGATTTTACTGAAGATTAAACTTTTGTTTTCCAGTTGTTACATGACGTGACTTCTGATAAATATTATTTAATTATTGAATTTTAAATTATTTGACACTTTTAGATGCTGAGCAGAAAGTTTGAAGTTTAGCCACAAATTACGTCGTTTTGTTTATGGCTCTCCGACAACTCATTTAATGTTTTTAATTCTTAATCTTGTGCTACTTCGTGTTTTCTGTGGTCATTAGTTGATTTCATGCAGTTCTTGTTGTTCTGATAGTTTTTGGATCATGTTCTGGTCTCTGCTCCAGTTGGATCATCTTGTTGTTGAGTTGTTCGCAGGACGTCAGGAGAACTCATCTGGACTTCATGCTGGAAACCTGCAGGACTCGGTTCCAACATTGAACAGAACCAGACATCGGGTCAGACCGACACTCCATCACCGGTTCTGTTCTTTTCCAGAAGAACCGGTCCGGACGGGTGGAGCCTCGTGACTCATTTTCTGGACTTCGGGCGAGGCCCGTTCATGACACCATCCAGAACCTGCAGAACCTGCAGCTCTCAGAAACAACGTGTTGGTTTATTGCTTCCTCAGGGCCGAGCGCTCTCCAGATGTGTGCAGCTGTGGAAGGATTAAACATTTCAAATTCACACCTTTCTGCTCAAAACTCCACAGTTTATTGTTGGTATTGTTTATTTGTGTTTGTGTGCAAGCTGCTCAAACAACAACAACAAGTTTTAGCTGTTTCTGGGCTCACGCCCTGTCACCTGCAGGAACACACCTACCTGCAGCTCAGGTGAGACTCGGGGGGCGTGGCTTTGGACTCTTCTCCAAACCAAACCGTACCTGTCCTCAGAGGACTCTCTGCCTCCCGTCAGCTCAGCGTTACCTGAAGTAAGTGCTTTTATTTTGAAACATCCACCAAGGTTCCCAGCCATGGTCCCTGAGGAACACCTGCATATTTTATTTCCCTGCTTTGACACACCTGACCTGATGAGTGGGTGATTAATTTCTGCAGAACTGGAAGTTATTAAATCACTGACTCAGGTGTGTTGGAGCAGAGAAACGACTGAAACATGCGGGGCGGTGTTCCTCAAGGACCAGTGTTGGGAACCACGGGAGTATTATTTAAATTGTGTGATAGAGCTTTAGTTTTCTGTGGTGTTTACCGTCCTGCTCTGTGTTTTTCTGGAGTTACCGACTCTTCGTCAGAGGATTTTACTCTCTCGTCTGCTCTCTCCGTCCCAGCAGCCTCCAGCATGCCTGAGACCGCAGAGTCCCACTCGGCCTCCCTGACCACCAACAGGAACTGCACGGTGGAGGTGACCAACGTGAGCTCCGCCTACTGCCTCATCAACCCAAAGTAAGGCCCCGACGCTCTGCGTGTTTCATTGTTGGAGAAAGAACTGCATTTATTCTGTAAATCTTTTAATCAAATCAACAAATGAAAGTGTGAACTTAAAGTTGTGAGCGCCCGAGTTTATAACTTTGATTGTGTCAGATTTGTCTTTAAACGAGATTAAAGGAGCAGCTCCACCCTCTAATCAACTGTCCTCTTTAAATAAAACACATTTTGTTGGTTTGATGTTTACGTTTTGGCTGCTTTCCATCAGCTGAAGTTATTTTTAGTTTTTATAACAGGATGTTTTTTTGTTTGTTTTTTGGAATTTTCCGTGTTTTTTTTTTTTTTTTAATGAAATTGTTTATTTTGAATTTCTTTGCTGTTGATTTTCATTTCTTCTCATTTTAAGCAATTTTATTAATTTTGAACATCTTAATCTGTTATTTTGTGTTTTTTATTTTTTGTTACGTTGCTTTTAGCTTTGCTCATATTTTGAAGCAGGATGTTTGTAGTTTTATTTATTTGGTCCTAATTCACATCATTTCTGGTATTTATTATTTATTATTCATGCGCATTACTGTGGATTGTTGTTTTGTTGCATTTTAGAGGTTGTTTGTTCCAGTTCTTATTTTATTTATGACTCTAGTTGAGTATTTATTTGTTTTGATTCTTTTACGTTTACTGAGTCAGAAGTTCTGGACTCTGAACTGGACCTGTGGTGCCCTCTGACCCCAGAACTGCCCGGCTGAAACGTGGGCCTCCATGTTTGTCTCACGAGCTTCTCTTCCTCCCCTGCAGGGTCCACATGGAGAGCGGCTTCCCGTTCAGCCCCCCGCAGCCCACTGTGCGCACCACCAAGATGGAGCTGTGCTCCTTCACCAAGGACGACAACACGGCCACGGGGGCCGCGGGGGTCCTGACCTACGAGCTGCTGAACATGCAGACCCGGCAGAGCAGCGAGCTCATGGCCGTCATGTTCTCCGTGCCGTTCGACTACAACTTCTACAAGAACTGGCTGGGCGTGGGGATCTTCGAGCGCTCGCGCGCCTGCGACAAGAAACTGTTCGACCTCATGTACAACGACAAAGATTTCTCCGGCTTCATACGTCAGGAGGCCAACGGCTCCGGGGTCACCTACAAGGGCCAGGCCCTGGACGTGAGGGCCACCATGTCTGACGAGGGCAAGGCCATCATCAAGCTGGAGCTGTACGACAAGATGGGCCGATGAAGCGTCTGCTGGTTCAGGCTGGTCTCATGGAGTCCCAGGACTCACTCAGACAGACCTCATGTTTGATGCTCTGAATGATGCTGTTTGTCATCGTGGGCTTTAAATAAACAAACAAACAAACAAACTGTTTGTCTTCGCTGCTTCTTTCTTTAATATTTAAAGTAATAAGTATATCATATTTATATATATTAATATTATCATTGTTATATATATTTTATTATTAAGCTATCTCAGGAGAGTGGTGACGCAGAGCTTAGAGAAGGTGGGCCTGTGATTGGAAGGTTGCCGGTTCAACTCCCAGTATCAACAACATCAAAATGTGGGTGAGAAAGGTGAAGCACCCACACCTGCCTCCACCCTCATTTGCCCCACTCTGGGCCCTTGAGCAAGGCCCTTAACCCCCACCCTCTGCTCCCGCAGGCGCCCTAGTTGGCAGCTCTCTGCTCCACAGAGGCTGTGGTGGCTCGGTGTCTGTGGTTGAGTCAGGAAGAACATCCGGTGTAAAAACAATCACCAGGTCTTCGTGTGAGTTCGTTCCCTGTGGAGACCCCCGAAGAAGGAGCAGCCAAAATAATATTTTTATTATCTCATATCTGATTATTATTATTATTTTTATTATTGTATTGCTTATATCTTATTATTATAATATATAAATATTCATATATATTTTTTTATACCTTATATATTATTATTATATAAATATTAAATATTCATATATATATTATTGTGTTATCTCACATCATATTATTATACATATATATTTTTTTATACCTTATATATTATTATATAAATATTAAATATTCATATATAGTATTATTGTGTTTTCTCTTACATTATATTATTATATATAAATATTTAATATTAAAATTGATAGGGTAGTGGTGGCGCAGAGGCTAGAGAAGTTGGGTCTGTGATCGAAAGGTTGCTGGTTCAACTCCCTGAACTGATGACATCAAAATGTGGGTGGGATAGGTGAAGCACCCACACCTGCCTCCACCCTCATTTGCCCACCCTGAGCTCTTGAGCAAGGCCCTCAACCCCCACCATCTGCTGCCCTGGGCACCCTAGATGGCAGCTCTCTGCTATAAATATTAAAATAAATATTTTCTTTGAATATTTAATCAGATGTGACAAATAAAATCTAAGTCAGAGCAGATTTTGCTCGTTGGTCTCATTAAAGCCAACAACAACACAAACACAGGTGTGGTGCATGAGGAGCCTCCTCAGGTGTGAGGCGAGGTCAACAAACCGGCTCACAGTCAAAGAAGAAAACTGCAAGAACCAGAAAGTCCACGGTGGCTGCACCTTTTCCTTCAGCAGACCTGATGGAAGCAGATGTTTGAGACGGGGCGTGACGGGAGGAGGGTGGAGACTGCCTGGGTGTCACATTCCCAACAGGTCTCACCTGAAGGTTGGAGTCGCTGCTTCCAGTCCGGCACCGCACAGGCGAGCGACGCACCTCAGACCCGGGCAGGTGAGCTGGTCTCTGGTTTTAGGGTGTAGCCGGCCAGATGTTTCAGAGCAGGCTGATGTTTTAACAGATGTGTGTTTGATCTGCAGTGAAACCTCTGGAAGCCAAACGATGAGCGAATCAGCCGAGGCTGTGGCCGCCAACATCAAAAGCAGGAGGAATGTCACCATTGAGATCACCAACCTGACCAACAACTACTGCCTCATCAACCCACAGTGAGTGCAACGAGCGCGCACGTTTGATTTCTTTCACCTGACCACCGAAGGCTAATCTGAGTCTGGTCTTGATTTGTTTCTTTAAATAAGGGTCTACCTGGACAGCGGCAGCGTCAACAGCCCCCCACCTCCCACCGTCCGCCCACAGAAGACCCAGGTGTGCATCTTCAGCAAAAAGGGGGGCAAGGCCACCGGTGCGGTGGGCATCCTGACCTACGACCTGTTCGAGAGGCACAGCAACAGCGCCAGGCAGAAGGTGGCCTTCATGTTCTCCGTGCCGTACGATTACAACGTGTACAAGAACTGGGTGGCCATGGGGGTGTACGACCAGAGCAAGGAGTGCAACGAGGCGCTCTACAAGGAGATGTACTACAGCAAGGAGCCGCAGGGCTTCGTGCGGCAGGAGGCCAACGGCTGCGGCCTCAGCTTGGAGGGCCAGAGCCTGGACGTGAAGGCCACCATGTCGCCCATGGGCAGGGCCATCATGAAGGTGGAGATCTGGGACAAGATCTTACCACCGATGAGTCAGCAGCAGCAGTGAGCTGTCGTTGGATGAGCTCAGCTCGTCATGTACCTGCAACATGTGATCATGCATTAAACATGCAATACCTGCCGACTCGACTCTGAGTGATCTTTGCCAACGTAAAAGTAAAAGTTTAACGTGTCATTTTCTGCTCGAGTCACCAACAGATTCACTCTGGACTCAAGTCTCCTCAGCAACTTCTGAAAAAACAAACTGAATAAAAGTATTGGACTGAATTAAAACTTTAAATTGTTGACAGCAAACCTCACCTACATTTCACTGAAGTCTGATGTAAACAACTTCCAAAAGCTAAAAGATGTTCAGGGGTCAAAAGTTTAACGTTGCAAAGTTTGAAATGAAAGGTTGTCCAGTGGTTCAGTGTTTACCTCCTGTAGTTTTCCAAGTCTGCACTTGTGAAATGTGGGTCTGCACTCAGTGTCAACAAATAAAACATGAGTCACGTCACTGAGTGACACCAGGCTGTAGGGAAGCAAACACGGACCAAGCAGAGCGGTGGAGCAGCGTAAAGACAGAGGTCAGCATTAAACATGTGGCATTTTCTACACGGTCCATTTACAGATGTTTACAGCTGTAACAATAACAAACGTTGCTGAACCAATCTGAGTAAAAAATACGTCCCAGCACGTCAAAACAGTCAGACGTCTCTGAGCCAAACATCTTCCACCAACACCACAAATTTACAGTTCCTTCAGCTGTTTCTGTAGGTACACGAACACACTTTGGCTGTTTTAATAAGTAAGAAAACACACTTTGGCTGTTTCCATGTGTTAATAAACACTCTTCGGCTGTTTCAGTAGGTAAACAAACACACTTCAGCTGTTTCTGTAGGTACACAACACACTTTGGCTGTTTCCATGTGTTAATAAACACACTTTGGCTGTTTTTGAAGGTAAACAAACACACTTTGGTTGTTTTTGTAGGTAAACACACTTTGGCTGTTTCTGTAGGTAAACAAACACACTTTGGCTGTTTTTGTAGGTAAACACACTTTGGCTGTTTCTGTAGGTAAACAAACACACTTTGGCTGTTTTTGTAGGTAAACAAACACACTTTGGTTGTTTCCGTGTGTAAACAAACACATTTTGGCTGTTTCAGCAGATAATCAAAGACACTGGGTGTTTTTGTTGGTAAACAAACACTCTGGTTTGTTCACTGGTCTCACATCTTTAATGAAAGACACTTCATGTACCGACAGGAGAAAGAAAAAGCTCATTTTTGTTTCTTCTTCGTCACTTTTGTTTTTTGACCTGTCTTCTTGACCTCTCCTTTGGTTCGTTACCGCTGATCAGTTTCTGCTCGAGGCCTGAAATTGTTGACATTTTTCAACCAGAAGAACTTCCTAAGAACATCAGAATGCTCATGGAGCCTTCATCGATCATCTGTGACCGTCACGTTGTTTTGTTGCATCCTTCAGTCAGACACCTGCGATTATTGAACATGTAAAGACAACATGAGACAATGTGAGACGACGTGAGACGACGTGAGATGATGTGAGACGACGTGAGACGACGTGAGACGACGTGAGACGACTTGAGAGACGACGTGAGAGACGACGTGAGACGACGTGAGACGACGTGAGACGACTTGAGAGACGACTTGAGAGACGACTTGAGAGATGCCTTGAGACGACGTGAGACGACGTGAGACGACTCCTTCTCTTTATTGTTTTGTGGAGCTTCAACCAGGATCATGCTCGTTCTTTAACTGGGAGCTGTGGACGCAGCTTCACATCTGAATCCACCTGTAGAGGTTCTTTTATGTTCAGCGTTCCTGTGCCTTCAGGCTGAAACACTGAACTGATCGACAGATTAAAATCATCTGATAGGTTTATCAATAATCAAAGACTCAGAAGAACAAATCCTACAGAACCAGTGACCCACATCAGACCAGCTTCATGTGCTGCTCGAAGCCTCCACCTGCTGGTTTCAGTTAAAAACTGCACGAACGTCTTCAACATGAGTCCTTCAGTGAAGCCTATAATATGAAAGCTGTGAGTAAAAACTGGTCCCAGCTCCTGGTCCAGCAGAACCTCCTTCAGCGCCAGAACTCTCTGCTGTTTTTTGTTTGTCTCTCGTGGTTCTGGAGGAGTTCTGACCCACCTTTTCCATCACTGATGTTTCTGCTCAGCTCTCTGAAGGTCCACCACAGAGGTTCAGTCAGGTTCAGGTTCTTGACTCTGACTGGACCGATGCAACACCTTGGTTCTGGTCTTTCTGACCCGCTCTGTTGATCAGCTGCTTGGGTATCTGGTTCTGTTAGACCCAGTTTCTTGAACAGACAGACTCACATTTGGTCCACAGAGGAGTTCTGGTCCACGCAGTGACTGACAGGAACCCAGACCATCAGCCCTCCACCAACATGCTGACAGCTGGGAGGAGCTGTTTGCTGCAGTGCATTCTGGGTAAACATCTGTCCTCTGGACTGGTTCTAGTCCAAAAGTCTTGTGGTTCCTGCAGATGAAACTTTCTAAACCTTAGTTGAGCTGCCATGTTGTTTTTAGAGAGGAGAGGTCATGACCTTTGACCTTTGAGCTGCTGACTGAGACCTGTAGAGCCACTGCACAGTCTGACCTTCAGGGAGAATCAGCTGGTAAAAGGATGGACTCCAGATGTCCTGCTGTTGCTAAGTCGTTGCTTAGAGCTGCCTCTCTGAGGTCATTGCTGATGTCTTTCCATCTTGGTGTTGGAACAGAGCAGCAAAGCTTTTCTAGAGGTGGTCCTCTTGATGATGACCAGCAGCTCCTCACGGGTCCAGAACCTCTGAGTTCCAGTAGAAGCAGCAGAACTGGACCCAGTTTTTTACATTTGGGATTTCTTTTGATCCGTATCTTCATCAGAGTCAGGATGACTTTGCTCTGGTCCTGATGTGTCCTGTCTGGGTTTGGTTTCCTGATACGAGTAACTCTAGTCTGGATCTACTGATTTGTTCCATTTAAGACTTTTGTTCCAGGTTTTGGTCTTCACGAGTCCAGACTTGTTGAATTCTTTTGGTCCAGGTGAGATAGGTTCATGCTGGATGTTCTGGTCTTTGTTTGCACTCTGGGTCTCGTCCAGTTTCTCTCAGTTCTCGTTTAATTTAAAGGACATTTTTCTCTTATTTACTGAAGGAGTCTCATTTAAATCTGACAAAATAAAAGTTTTGCTGTTTTGCTTCAGAGATGGAAGTTTAGGAGTTAAAGATGAAACCAATAATAAACGTAAATCAATCAAATTGTTCAAATATTCAGCAAAGAAAGTCAGAGTCAGAGATTCTTTATTGTCATTCGCACCTCATGTGGTACATGTGGTGGAGCGAAATTATGTACACAGGGTCCCAGTTACATCCAACAATAAAATGTATAAGAAAAACAGTAATAACATCTAAGATATGAACTAAGAAAAACATCAACTAAATATACACTAAGCACTCATAACATAAAACATTGAACATCAGCACAAACATGAACATGAGTCTGTGAGCAGATGTGCACGCATGAACACATCAACATTGAAACAGATCAGCAGCAACATGAAACAGATCAGCAGCAACATGATGTGGTTTTTCACAGTGATTATTCTAGTTAGAGATTCATGAGTCTAACAGCCTCAGGGTAGAAGCTGTTCCTCAGTCTAGTGGTTCTACACTTAATGCTCCTCAACCTCCTTCCTGAGGGGAGTGGGGCAAAAAGTGTGTGTGCTGGGTGAGTGTGGTCCTTCATGATGCAGGTGGCCCTCTTCCTGCATCTGGAGGTGTAGATGTCTGTGATGGTGGGGAGACTGACCCCAACATCTTCTGTGCAGCCTTCACCACTCTCTGCAAAGCTTTTCTTTCTGCAGCTGTGCAGCCTCCATGCCACACGTTGATGCTCGAGCACAGGATGCTCTCCACTGCACACCTGTAGAAGGAGGTGAGGACTGAGCTTCCCAGACCAGCTCGTCTCAGCCGCCTGAGGAAGTAGAGTCTCTGATGAGCTTTCTTCATCAGGCTGGTGGTGTTGTTGCTCCAGCTGAGGTTGTCATTCATGTGTACACCCAAGTTCTTGTAGCTGGAGACCACTTCCACCGCAGATCCTCTTATGTTCAGGGGGGTGTAGATGTTTTTGTTCCTTCTGAAGTCCACAATCATCTCCTTTGTCTTTTTCACATTGATGTGAAGGTTATTCTCTTTGCACCAGCTCTCCAGGTGTTCCACCTCTTGCCTGTAGCTGGACTCATCATTGTTTGTGATGCATCCCACCACCGCTGTATCATCTGCAAACTTTACAATGTGACAGCCTGGATGGGTAGCTGCACAATCATATGTGAGCAGAGTAAACAGGAGGGGGCTCAACACACATCCCTGAGGAGAGCCAGTGCTGAGGGTTATGGTGGAGGAGGAGAAGTTGTGGATCCTCACTGACTATGGTCTGTTTGTTAAGAAGTCTAGTACCCAGTTGCAAATGTAGGGGCTTAGTCCTAGTGTGGATAGTTTGTCCATCAGGGTTTGGGGGATCATGGTGTTGAAGGCAGATGTGAAGTCCACAAAGAGCATACAGATGTAGGAGTCTTTCTGCTCCAGGTCTGTTTATTAATTAAAACACACATTTGTTATGATGAACTCAAGTCCTGGTCATTCCAGTTTTGGTCAGCTGATGTGTTCTCTGGTTCTACAAACCGGATTCCAAAAAAGTTGGGACACTAAAGAAATTGTGAATAAAAACTGAATGCAATGATGTGGAGATGGCAAATGTCAATATTTTATTCGTAATATAACATAGATGACAGATCAAAAGTTTAATCTGAGTAAATGTAACATTTTAAAGGAAAAATATGTTGATTCAAAATTTCACAGTGTCAACAAATCCCAAAAAAGTTGGGACAAGTAGCAATAAGTGGCTGGAAAAAGGAAATTGAGCATATAACGAACAGCTGGAAGACCAATTAACACTAATTAGGTCAATTGACAACATGATTGGTATAAAAAGAGCTTCTCAGAGTGTCAGTGTCTCTCAGAAGCCAAGATGGTAAGAGGATCACCAATTCCTCCATTGTTGCGCAGAAAGATAGTGCAGCAATACCAGAATGGTGTTACCCAGCGTAAAATAGCAAAGACTTTTAAGTTATCATCATCAACCGTGCATAACATCATCAAAAGATTCAGAGAATCTGGAACAATCGCTGTGCGTAAGGGTCAAGGCCGTAAAACTCTACTGGATGCTCGTGATCTCCGGGCCCTTAAACGTCACTGCACCTCAAACAGGAATGCCACTGTCAAGGAAATAACAGAATGGGCTCAGGAATACTTCCAGAAAGCATTGTCAGTGAACACAGTCCACCGTGCCATCCGCCGTTGCCAGCTGAAACTCTACAGTGCAAAGAGGAAGCCATTTCTAAGCAAGCTCCACAAGCTCAGACGTTTGCACTGGGCCAGGGGTCATTTAAAATGGAGTGTGGCAAAATGGAAGACTGTTCTGTGTCAGATGAGTCACGATTTGAAGTTCTTTATGGAACACTGGGACGCCATGTCATCCGGACCAGAGAGGACAAGGATAGCCCAAGTTGTTATCAACGCTCCGTTCAGAAGCCTGCATCACTGATGGTATGGGGTTGCATGAGCGCTTGTGGCATGGGCAGCTTGCATGTCTGGAAAGGCACCATTAATGCAGAGAACTATGTTCAGGTTCTAGAACAACATATGCTCCCATCTAGACGTCATCTCTTTCAGGGAAGACCCTGCATTTTTCAACACCATAATGCCAGACCACATTCTGCAGCAATCACAACATCATGGCTACGTAGGAGAAGGATCCGGGTACTGAAATGGCCAGCCTGCAGTCCAGATCTTTCACCTATAGAGAACATTTGGCGCATCATAAAGAGGAAGGTGCCACAAAGAAGGCCCAAGACGATTGAACAGTTAGAGGCCTGTATTAGACATGAATGGGAGAGCATTCCTATTTCTAAACTGGAGAAACTGGTCTCCTCTGTGTACCTGTGACCTGTGTCCAGACCTGTGTACACCCACAAATAAAGTAAAAATGAAAACATAACATAAACATGTGTACACCCATACAATAGAAAACAATAAAAAAGCTTAGAGAACAGTACAGATGGAGTATTCAATTATAATAGGAGTCCAACAGCAGAGGGGAAGAAACTGTTCTTATGGCGGGAGGTTCTGGTCCGAATGGACCGAAGCCTCCTGCCTGAGGGGAGTGGTTCAAACAGACCGTGTGCAGGGTGAGCAGGTTCGGCTGTGATCCGACCTGCTCGCCTCACAGTCCTGGAGACGTACAGGTCGTGGAGGGATGGAAGGCTGCAGCCGATCACCTTCTCAGCTGAGCGCACAACGCGCTGCAAGCCTAAATTAGCAGAACAATGCAGAAAGAACATATATATGCTGAAATAGGTATAAATTAAGTAGCACAAAGCTTAGGAAATTAACTAAAGCCAAAATGGAATTTAGCAACAAAAAAAAGCTGAAAAGTAGCTGAATAGGCATAAAGAAAAAAGAAGAAGCTTAAACTCCCAGAAGGACGTGAAAAGAGCTTAAGTCAGATTTTAAAAAAGTGGAAATAGCTGAAATATATAAATTTTTAGCATTTAAACAGCTAAAAGTAGCTGAAATAGCAGAAAAAGCTGAAACTAGCAGAAAAAACCCTGAAAGGAACATAACAAGCTGAAATTACCATAAAGAAGTTAATTAAGTTGAAGTAGCAAAAATTACCATGAAAAACTTGAATTTATCTGAAAACAGCTGAAATTAGCAAAAAAATGCTAAAAACAAATAAAATCTGAAAAGATAGAACAAGTTTAAATTCACAGAAGAAATCAAAAAGAACATGTGTGCTGAAAGAAGCAAAAATTATCACAAAAAAGTGGAAATTATCTGAAAAAAGCTGAAATTAGCAACAAAAAATCTGAAATGCAGCTAAATATATCATGAAGAAGCTTAAATTACTAGGAGCACAATTTTGCTGAATTAAGCTGAAAAAAGTTGAAATGAGTGCAAAAAAATGTGAAATTAGCTGAAAAAGCTAAAATTAGTGTTAAACAGCTAAATAGTAGCTGAAAAGTAGAAAAAGCTGAAACTTGCATAAATAAGCTGAAAGGATCATAACAAGCTGAAATTAGCAGAAAGAAGTTAGAAGAAGCACAAAAATGTTGTAGTTAGCCAAAATAATCTGAAAGGAGCACAAAACAGCTGAAATAACAGCTGAAATTGCTGATTTATTTATTTTTTAAATTTACACAAAGAAGCTGAAAGAAGCTGAAGCAGAACAAAATATGAAAGGAGCAGTAAATAGTTGTAAACACATCTAAAGATTTGAAGGATGGAAAGTGAGCTCAATTCATTTTCTATGAGAGAAAAAAAGTCAGAAAATGTTAAATGTTTTAAAAAGCTAAAGTTGCACCATTCCCAGAAGTCATAGCAGGACTGTCCTCAAAGAGCTGAATGTTGTGATATTTTATTTGTTGAAATAGCTGTAAAACTGCGGGACGAGAAAGAGCGTACGGAAGAAAAATGGATCACAGCAGGGTGAACGGTCAGTTAGCATCAAGGCAGTAATTTCTAATAAAGCTCAGGCTCAGTTTGATTCGGCGCACCGCTCGTAAAAGACGCTGACGGTGGTGTTGAACCTGTCCTTCAGGTACATCTCCAGGGTTTCCAGAGGCATCGTTCTCACATCGTATCCCCAGATCGGCTTCTTAGCCGTCTTGTCTATCGGCACAATCTCCTCGGTGCTGTTACGGTCGTTGCGTCCAACGGCGGCGAACGTAGGAAAGGTGTCCTTCAGTTCTTCAGGAAGACTTTGGTTGTATTTTGGGCAGCAGTACGCAGACCACATGTACTCTGGTACTGCCACACGATTCTTGATCCGAGGATCGTTGTCCCTGTAAGGGATGATGCCCGTCACAATGTAGGCCTCTGTGAGGCAGTAGGCCGATAAGGTGTTGTTGACGGCCTGCTCCAGGACTTCCCAAGGTCCGTCATTGGAGCCAGTCTTCTGAGGAACCACGTTGGTCAGGGTGAATGTGGCAGAGCGGCACGCGTGTGTCTGGTGGTGAAGGCTGGGGTTCAAATGGCCGCGAGAGAAGGTGGAGTTGATGTAGTCCAGCTTCACCGCTTGGCTCTCCACCACGTTCTGGTCCACGGGTCCTGGCAGGAAGGGCATCATGTTGCCATCTGCTCCTGGGTAGGCCAGCTGGGTGTAGGACAGAGGAAGACATCTGTTAGACAACCAACAGTGAAAAGTCAAAGTTAAATTTAAGATTACTGCTTCTGCGATTGTTCTCTTCAGGTTGAAGGTGAGGTTCTGCCTCAAGTGGAGGAGTTCCAGTATCTCTGGATTTTGTTCACAGTGAGAGAAGAATGGAGTGTGAGATTGACAGACAAACTGGTGCAGCGTCTGCAGTATTGTGGACTCTGTACCGGTCTGTTGTGGTGAAGAGGGAGCTGAGCTGTAAGATAAAGCTCTCTGTTTACTGGTCGGTCTACGTTCCTCCCCTCACCTCTGGTCATGAACTCTGGTAAGGATGCTCCCTGGGTGTCTCCCTAGGGAGGTGCTTCATGCATGTCCGACCAGGAGGAGACCCTGGGAAAGACGAAGGACACGCTGGAGAGTCTACATGTCTCTGTTAGTCTGGGAACACCTTGGAGTCCTCTAAGAAGAGCTGGAAGAGGCTGTGGAGAGAGATGTCTGGACCTCCCTGCTCAAGATGCTGCCCCCAACACCTGATGGATGGATGGATGGATGGATGGATGGATGGATGGATGGATGGATGGATGGATGGATGGATGGATGGATGGATGGATGATGATGGATGTATGGATGGATGTATGGATG